TGTCAAATAAATAAATAAAAAATCTCTTAAAAATAAAAAAAATAAAAATAAACTGTTAACTCAAAGCTATACTCGAGGTCACGTTTAGATACATACGTTATATACAGCAAAAGCATAAAAACCAGCAAAACAATATTTTATCCCAAAGTCTGGATAATATTTCCCTAGGGGGAAGGAAGGGAAGAGAAAGGAATGTAGGAGAGACTCAAAGAAAACTTCAACATTATCTGTAATGCTTTCGTTTTTCAGGGGTAAAAAACGATTCCAATTCGATAAAGCAAGCCATTTTAAAAAATCTGATAGAACTGAGTAAGATTACACTGGAGTTTACTTACTCTCTGGAGTTCCCTGTGTTTGAAATATTCATTAAAAACAAAACAAATTCAAGGGGAAATTATGATCATTAGCAGCAAGTTTCCTCTGAAATTCTTTTTCAAAGAAAGGCAAACAAGCAATTTTCTTTACACACAGCTAGGAAACATTGGATGGCAAAAAGTCACTTACCTGTTTTTTAAGAGTTGGATTGAGCTTACATGTGGTGTTAGCTGTTCTGTTTCATGTATCGAGCAGCCCCAGTTTGGAGACTGGAAGGTTCTGCTGAGATTTGTGGCTTCCTGTTTGAAAGAAAGGGAAGTGAAACTCAAAGCAGTAATCAGCACGCAGCATGCGGCCTGTCATTTTCTTTTACCTTGCTAGAAACAAAGAGAGAAAACGAAAAGGAAAAAAAAAAGATTTCTGCCAAATTTCTGCCATGAGAAAGATCTTTGGTCCCCTCTGTAGCCCATATGTAGGCATGCATGAAATGGCAATTAATAAAAAACTGCACTAAAACTAATAGCTAACATTTCTTTACATTTAACTGTGGACTTGGCACTGTGCAACTGTATGCATTTTCCTCATTTCTTCTGGAAACAATCTCATACAGTAATCACTCTTAGTATGTTTATTTCTCAAAGTATGCAAATGAAACTTAAGGACATTAGGTGACTTTGGCCAAACTAATTCTACGAGCAGAGGGGTGGCTCTGGCTGGTATTTAAAACCAAGTCTTTCTGCATGGGAACAAACAGATGAGGATTTGACTTTTCCTGAATTCATTTATAAGACAGTGCACAGCTTCGTTTCCCATTACACATTCAATCATTCAACACGGGCTTAGACCCTGGGGAAGGATAATGCTGAGTAAGATAAAACACTGCCCTCACATCGCATGCTGTGTGCTCAGGGAGACCGTCAGGTACACAGATAGTTATATTCATGTCCTATGGCTACAAAAGGGATAAAAACCAGATCCCCTGGGTACCAGGATGACAGTGGACTCACCCAGTCTTAGGGCACTAGTAAAAGCTAGCAAATCAAAGTTTAGACTGAGACACGAAGTTGTAGGGCAGGAAGAAATTTCCTTCTTCCCTCCAAGGTTTTTCCGGCTGGTTTAGGAATTAAACTGACATGAGACAGATTAACAAAAGGAAAAAACAAAGTTTTAGGATATGTACATGGAGGCCCAATAATAAAATTGAGACCCGAAGAAATGACAAAGGCAGGCAGTTTTTATACAATTTAGACAAAGAGACAATAAATTCGTGAGAACTTGGCAGAATAAAGAAAAGAGATGTTTGGGAACTTTCATTAGTAAGGAACTCTAAGTGGAATTTGGGCTGAGGTAGCTATAGATCTATAGATTGGTACATACACACATATACACACATACAAACACACACACTGAGGTTTATTTCTACTGCTTTCTTGGCTTTAAAGTCCCTCTCTTTGGTGATAAGGATGTCTTTTTACTTCTTAGTACAGGGAGGATATTATTCATGTAAGAGATTTATTTCCTGCTTTCGGTGGTCAGGGAAGGTCTAAGTGTCCTTGCACCAACTGTTTCCCAAGTAGCTTCAATTCAAAATAATCAATATGTCATTGTGGCACATTTGGGGGCAGCCCACCTTGGGCCCCTACAAAGTACAAGCAAGAAGTGAAGCAAGAGAGAGCACAGTGTCATCAGGGACCTCCAAGGATTTTAGCCTGCCTGGAATGGACTGACAGCATCAAACTGGCAAGCAATGAGGCTAGGGAAGTGATTAGGTTTTAAAAGTCTTTATTTAAGTTGGATTTTATCATGAAGACAATATGAAGATTCTAAAGGCAGAAGAATGGCATGATCAAAATTCAAAGTCTTAGGAAGAAGAGTTAGTTTTTTCTTGCTTTGTAACAAATATCATAAACCTAGAGGCTTTAAAACAACTCACATTCATTATGACACAGTTTCCATGGATCAAGAAACCCAGCATGGTTCAAATGAATTTTTTGCTCAGGGTGCCTCACTCAAGGCATTGGCCAACTGTGGTCCCATCTTTCTCTGGGAAAGACTCTGATGCAAAGCTCACTTAGGTTACTGGCAGAATTTAGTTCTTTGTAAGTGTAAGACTGAGGTCCCCTTTTCTTTGCTGATTGCCAGCCTGAGGCTACTCTCAGCTCCTAGTCGTTGCTCTCAGTTTCTTTTTTTTTTTAAAGATTTTATTTGACAGAGAGAGAGAGACAGCGAGAGAGGGAACACAAGCAGGGGGAGTGGGAGAGTGAGAAGCAGGCTTCCTGCAGAGCAGGGAGCCCGACGCGGGGCTCGATCCCAGGACCCTGGGATCATGACCTGAGCCGAAGGCAGACGCTTAACAACTGAGCCACCCAGGCGCCCCCGTTGCTCTCAGTTTCTTGACAACAGCCTTTGCACTCATCTTATACAACATGGCAGCAACAGAATCCTCCAAGGTCAGCAGCAGAATCTTCCCTGTATCAAATCTCCTTCATGCCTTGAGTCTCTGCCTTCAGAAAGAGTCCCTTTCTTTTAATGGCTCACCTAATTTTTTCAAGGCCACTGAAGATAATCTTTCTTAAAGACAATAAATGAATCATGGAAGTGATATCCCATCATCTTCAGATCTCTGCCGCACTCAGGGGAGGGAGTTGTACAAGGAGGTGGGCCATTGGGGGGCCATTATAGATTTCTGACTATAACAAAGGACAAGACCAGAATCAAAGAGACTAGTTTTTAGCCTTTTGCATTTACTTATTCATTCATTCATCCATTCACCCATCCATTCTTTCTTCTTTTAATAAAAAATATATTGAGGGGCGCCTGGGTGGCTCAGTTGGTTAAGCGACTGCCTTCGGCTCAGGTCATGATCCTGGAGTCCCGGGATCGAGTCCCGCATCGGG